CTTAATCCGTTTTTTGAGTAAACATCTGAGCAAACGATTGCGGAGGGTGAAACATCTGCTGGGCCCTGAGATTTTCAGCCTTTCAGATGACTGTCAAAAGCATTTAAAAGTCACTGTAAGCATTATTTAACAGACAAACTGACTTGTGTTACATTATCATAATACTACAGTGTATCATGTAAAAGAAAATAGATTGAAAAATGTCTCAACCAGTTTTGTGCATACAATGATACTTTCATTGTATGGGAAAAAAAACACTGAGACATGTTCCACAGAATAAAGTAAGTCATACAGGTCTGGAACAACATGAATGAATTTTCATTTTTGGGTGAGCAATTCCTTTAAGGCCAAAAGGTACAAGGAGAGAGGAGGAGGAATGTGGCAAGGCTTGGAATGAAGGAAAATGGGCTAGTTGAGTGCGGAGGTGCTACTCCCTCTGCGTTGTAGTCATTTCCCTCCTGCAGTGTGCCTTTGCATAATTTGCCCCTCCTCCCCCATTAGAGCGGTCGGCTCGTCTCCCTGGGCCATGTGTTAGAACAAATTTGAGCAGTGTCATATTGCACGTATTTCAACAAGGCCAATATGGTTCCCTCCCAATTTGCTTAATGAATTAAGCTGAGGAGAGTAATGGATGTGCTAACACCATTAGCCGCCCTCCACACATCTGCATTGTGGATTCTGGCGTTTTCTCTTCTCCCCCATCTAACCCTCCTATTTTTCCCCCACTCTTTCTCTCCTCAGGTTTGCTTAAGGACAAATTGATAATGAGTCTCCTCCCTACAGTAACTGTAAAATTTCCATCTCTACTAAATGGCTAACAGCAGAACAATAGCATTTAAATGGTCATTTCCATTAGCTCAAATGAGCTGTTTTGGGTGTCGTTAGCGTGTTTTAGCATGCTAAAGGTGGGCTGGGGAGAGAGGCAGTGTGCTGATAAGGTTCAGGTAGTACGTTACAGGAATGTGTAGCCTAGAGAGGCCCATACAAAGGGAAATGAACAACAACTGAGCTAGCATGGCAGGGCTGTTAGCACGTGAATGCCCCTAATTACAGGCCAACCCCGCGTCATTACACTTAATTGTAAAGTGTGTCTTAATCAGTTTCCATATGAAAAGGTCTATTAATTAAGTGCATGACTGAAATTCAATTATGTTGTCAGGAGACAATTTGTAAACCAAATAATGATCAATTATGCAAACAGAGTCCAGTGCACCCAAACTCTTTTGCTAAGCCATTTTCTAGCAGAGAACTTCTAGGAAAAATCTAATTGAATTCAATTCAAAACAAATTTAACAACTACACATATTGAATGACATTCAAAAGTGCAACTTAAAGAAATATTTTAACCATCAAATCTGTCAGTGTGTTTCCAAACCTAAATATGTGTCAAAGTAATTTTCATTTAAAAATAATGCACATGCTTGCGGAAAAAGTGGGGTGTTGCGCTGTTGGGATGCAAGTTCAAATCCAGCATGGTTCAAACAAATCCAGTCCCGTCTCCTCTCTACTGTCCTCTACATTAAAGACAAAAACCCCATCAAAATATGAAAAGACACCAGTGCCACTTTTTTCAAAAAAAAAAGGCCCAGCAGATCATTGAGGTCTTGGCTGGCGGAGAGCGACTCTGTTTTTCTGCGCGTATGGAGCCGCAGCGGCACGGCACTAGCTGCTTTTGGCTGGGTCTTACTGGAATGGCAGTCAAAGGGGGGGAAAGATGAAAAGGCCTCAAGATGCTTCAATAAAGGGGAGATTATAATAAGCGCCATCATTGTGCCCCTTTTGAAAATGTTAATCAGGCATATCACTGCCTGCCTGCAATGCCACATGTAGCAGCGTTTAACTTGTGTTAGCTGTTAGCTGTTGTCTGAGTTCGGAGACCATTTCCCCATGCGACTCACGTAGCCAAGTTTAAATCTTTAGTCAAACTAAGGGGCTGGTTACAAGCATGTTGCCTTAGCCACACAAGCAATTCCATTTCAGTCTTGGCGGAGCTGAGATCTATAAACGCAGACACTCAAGCAATTATTTCTGCATGGCCAACACTGCCTTGGAATGTGGGCACTGAGAATTACAGTGGGAAACTGAGGGGGAAGGCGAAATTTTTTTTTTGACGTTTTGAGACTAAAATATTAAAAGATGCACATCCGTTAAGAAGCCCGGAAGAGGACGACCACGTCCCTGAGAATAAAACAAACATAATGGGCCTCTTCTGACACTGCCGTACGTCTGTTTTTCCGGCACAGACTGTGATGGCTCGTCTGTAAACTGCATTAAGCTGATGATATCCGTCTTGTATGAATTTCTGTGACCGCGGTGGAGAAAAAGAGAACGGATTAGCTTGCAATAAAACCTGTGTCAATCTTATCAGACTCAAGTGCAATTTTTAAACACATGTTAATCTCACCTAAAACTCATTCTTTTTTCCTCTGTGCTTTTTAAAAAATCTCTTATCGAGAACTCTGTAGGTGTGTGGGTTTTAGAGCGCCTTTAAAATGCCATTATTTTCATAAATGCGTCCATTGTTGCAGATTATAAAGCAATTTGAAAATCATATGTGTGCATAAATGCATGCTGAGCAGATGTCAGGGAGATGCATTCAGAGGGTTGCTGAATATCAAAAGCCGTGCAGATAACATTACCACACATTTCAATGCTGCATGCAGAAAAAATTTCAATGTGATTCGGGATGGTATTGTGCTCGGACAGAATGGCAAGTGTGCGAATAGCTCTCCTCTCTAGCTTTTGATTTCATGAAATGTTCAAAATTGATACGTTTAGAAAATCGGGTGACAATAACATATTTAGATGTAATTCTGGGGATGTGGCTAACTGAGGTAATGGTTGAGCTGCTGGCGAGTGTGTGTGTGTGTGAAGGACACTGCTCCCTCTGGTGTGGGAATAACAAGTTCATTAGGCAGGAGCCACTGCAGGCCTCTGCGTTCCGTTTACGGCCTCCTAGCCCATCAGCGGCTGCATCATTAGGACTCTGCCATAATTAAGAGCTGCTAGAAAGTGAATTCTCCAACTGCAGATTAGAAAATTAAACTATTTACTGATTACATATTAATAGAAGACAACAATGGCAGTCGCCATAAGCTTGGACGGCAACCAAGGAATACATCTGTGTACTTAATTACCATAAACAATGGTTGCATGGAAATAGAGTTTTATACGCATTCCCTTCTGTAATACGCCTGATATCAGAAGACACTTGACAATTCGTGTTCAATTATCTTCATTCTTTAATGTGCTGTGAACTGCACACAGTAAATAAATTAACCAGCCCAATTACTGTGAATTCATCTGGGAAACAAACACAAAAAACCAGCAGACTAAGGCAGAGCGTATAATGAGAGGGGGAGGGGTATCAGGGATCACGAGTAGTTCTTAATACAGTTTTTATATGTATAGACATCTAACTTTATATGTATGCATACACGTTTATTTAACATTTGCTTATTTATTTGCAGTCATCATTGTATGCATGTAGTGAATATATGTTCTAAATATATATTCTCTCTCTCTGTCATTATATATATATATTTATAAAATTATAATAACATTATATAAAACGTGACATATTTATGTTATATATTATTATTATTATATTGACCACAACCCTAACTTTAAATATCATAAATATTCATATGCCATATATATTTATCTGAATAATTTCTAGTGACATAAATAAAAATAATTATATGCTGAAAAAAGATGATCAAAAAGGAGAAAAATGCAGTAAAAAAAAAAACTTTACATAAATCCCTTACTTATTAATAATACTTGCACTAATTTAGTGCAACATAGCTTAGCATGATTATATTCAATATATGTATTCTGAGCATATATGACATTGTTTGTTTTGTGTATATTTAGTTAGAGAGGCTTTTGCTGGCAGACTATGTTGACAGAGGCGTGAATTCACCTGTTTGCAGTGCTGAAATGCGTGCACTAGCTCAGACAGGTAAGCGCATTAAGGTGAGACTCGTACATGGGGTCCGGTGTGTAACTGCACCTCTTATTTCTGTGTGTGAGTGTGTAAATCTTGCCGAAATGTCTGGTTTGGTTCTCCACCTGCTAGGGCATTCAAGCCATTTATCATTCAGAGTGCGAAAAAAAACCCTTCAAACGGACATAGCGGCTTTGACTTCAACAGGGCCCAGGTGAGTGTGAAGAGAGACAGCGAGAGAGGGCTAGATGGAAGGTTGGGCAAACACAAAACTGTGATAGTCACGATAACGTGATGGAGAAGCATAAAAATGTAACCATCTACTTTCTCCACCTTTTTTTTCAACCCCCGCTTCCTGATGCTGCCCTTATGAGAAATTATTGTTTTGTATCAGCATCTGGATGGAAGGAAGCTTTTCTTAAATTTTAGTTATTGAGGCACTGGAGTCTCAGAACGGAGCTCCATGTTTTAACAAAGGCTCAGCAGCCCTTTTTCCCTGTTATACACACCTGCAAGATCACCCCACATCCTTTCATATGTGTTTATGCGAGGAGAAGAGAGAGCGATAGAGGGAGAGAGAGAGAGAGAGAGGGAGGAGGAGAGCAAGTGCATGTATCTATTAATGTGTGTCTTTCATTATTTCAACATTTCCTTTTCGGTCCAGCCCCCAAACAGCAGCCCTCCCCTTTCTCTTCCTTCCCTCTTCACCCTTTACCCCTCTGCCGTATCCCCCTCTCTCCCTCCTTCTCTCTCTCTCTCTCTTCTACAGCATATCATTGAAGGCCAGATATGGGGTTCTGTTGCGCATGGCTGCACGGTACTGTTCAATAGTGGCTGGCTGGCGGACGCTATCAGCACTAGTTATCAGCTCCCATGAAGGCTCTCTTATCACGGCGGCCCAGAGAGCCTCCCTGCATCCTCACCGCCCCTTTTCATATCCCCGCTGCCACCCCAACATCCCGGCTTCAAAGATTCACACTTCCCAAACTCCATAAGAGTTTGTGAACGCTCAATTTGCCAAAACTGTTTACAGTGTAATTGGGCGGCGTACCTGTGTCCATGAGATAGCGCAGACGCTTCTCCACACGCGAGGCCCGTGTGTCGATCTGCCTCTGCTCGCTCTCCAGCGCCGCCAGTTCCCCCACCACGTACTGACTGGTGTCTTTGAACGCTTTCTGCTGGGCAAGAACAAACGAGAGGAAGGGGGAGTGATGAGAGGTTTGAAATGAAGCATCACATCCAGGGTTTATATAGCTTTTAAATACCAGGGGAACAGTGGTCATAATGATGACTGGTGAATATTGCTTGAATTAATTAAGCAAATGAAAGCTCTTTTTTCTGGTTTCTTTGGAAATTATGTATTGCTGTCAATTTTTAAATTATAAAAAATTAAATATAAAAAATTAATTATATAAAAAAATTGTAAAAAATTATAAAAACAAATTCCCAAATTAGACTAATTACTAAGATGAGGTGATAAAAACAATTATTAAAATAATACATCAAAAAAGATTTATTATTTGGGAAAAAAATTAAGCTAATAATTAATAAAATATAATAAATAAATGTGTTATATAAATATACAATAAATGTATTCTGGTAAAAATAGTAATATACAAAAATAATTAAATAAAAAATACTGTATACTGTATACATTTTTTATGACTATGTTTAAAGATTTATTGATTTTCATTTATTCGGCCTTATTTTCTGGCGTAATAATATCTGTTTTGCCGTTATGGACTGTAACTTTGAATGCTGAGATTTGAGTACATGCGTAAAATTTATCACCCTAACAATATTATATATGTATATAAAACATACAAATAAAATAAAACATACAAATACAACTCAGAGCTACTGTATACATTTTTCTGACTATATTTGAAGATTTCTTTATTTTAATTTATTAATTGCCTTACTTCCTGGCATAATAATATCCGTTTCCGCAGTTACGGACTGTAGCTTTAAATGCCGAGGTATGATTACATGCATGAATTTATTATGTTAAAAATATTATACAGCTAAAACATACAAATAGAATAATAAAATACAGCTCAGAGCTAATGTATGCTACTATGTTTGAAGATCTATTTATTTAATTTAATAATTGCTTAATTCCTGGCATAATAATATCTGTTTCCACAGTTATGGACAGCTTTAAATGCTGAGGTTTGGCTACATGCGTGAATTCATCACATTAAACATATTATACATGTAAATAAAATTTCTAATAAAAATACAACAGAGAACTAATGTATATTTTTTTATTTTTTAAGATTTATTCATTTTTTTATTTTACATATTTATTGTCTTTTATAATTCCTGGCATTCAAATTTCTGTAGACTGTAGCATTAAATGCTAAGGTTTGACTTCACACATAAAGCCTCGGGCAGCAGTGTGCGTTTACACACCAATATAACACGCTAAATGACCTCAGAAAGAATCCAGTATTACAGCAGTCTGGAGACTGACACACAGAGAGACAAAATTGAAATATATGGGAGAGGTGGGTCAGTGCCTAAGGGCCTATCAGCAGGGATCTAAGAGATCTACGCAGCACATGCGTGTGGTCAGATTCACTCATGCACACATTTGGAAACAAGCTCCTTTTCCCTCTCACACGTGACCCTGGTGGCAGCAGTACCCTCTGGCTCATGGGAAACACTGGAGTGAGGGATGAGACAGTGATTAGGGAGAAATAGAGTAATTAAACTGCACGCTTATTTCTAAGTGTGTGATAGTGACAAGCACTCGCACCCCCACTTCATTCCACTCGTTTATCGCCCTCCTCAGTCCTCTCCTCCTTCCTACTATTTTGAGATAGAGGGGTAGGGGGAAAAGAGTGCTAATTTAAATTCACATTGCTGGAAAAATATATATATTTTTAGTGCTGATGCACCTTATTTCATAATAGGAATGAGGAAAATGGAGAAGTTTTTTTCCATCCAAACAGCACTTTTTCTGCCTGAGTCCTCCTGCTGTCCATCAAACTCCACCTTCCTCTTTCTCGCTGCTCTATCAAATACTTCTGCCACAAATCAATTTTACACATGATCAGCCCCCTCCCCTCTGCTCTCGCCTCTCTGCCATAATTAAGTGTTGAAATTTCCATATATATTATATTAATGCAAACATCATTCGCTGGGTAATTCAGCTTGAGCTGGGTAATGGGCAAGTTCAACACCCATTAACCCCTACACAGAGAGGGGCAAAGCTGGTCTCTACTGACCTTCCCTCTCTCTTTCTGTGTCTCTATATATCTCACTTTTCCCATGGTATGTATCCCTATGCTCTGGCCCTATATATGGTGCCGCAATAATTAAAATTTCATTAGATCAGCCTTCATGGAGAGAATGAATGAAGATGGGATAAGAAAAGATAATTATATAATTCTAAACTATTTGATATTTCAATTATTATTTATATATATACATTTTCCCCTGTATTTTTGATCAAATAATTGCAGCCTTGATGAGCTTAAGAAACTACTGTAAAAAACATTCAAAATCGTTCTGATCCCAAACTTTTGACCAGTAGTGTATATATATATATATAAAATATATATATATATCCCAAACTTTTGACCAGTAGTGTATATATATATATATATATATAAAATTATATATATATAAAATTAACAGTCGCCAAGCGCCAAATGCGGCTTTGGCGAGTATATGAAACTGTGTCAGTCGCCAGAAGGCTGGTAACATTTTTATAAATTGTAACAGTTCAATGTTGTGAGAACATAAACGTGAACGACGCTCTGTACAGTTGACGGGTCAGTGCTGCTTCATCGAAAAAGTTTAAGCCTTTGCAGTGTAAATATTCAAGAGCTAGAACACACGAAAGGACACACGTTCCTCTCGCGCTGTGTGGGAAGTTTAAACATCCGAAACCCCGGCCTGAAAGCCGCGTCTTGAGCTCTGCTTCCTT